AAGTTCTGTTCGACGTAAATATATTCAGTATGAAGCTTGTGACAAATTTTGGCGCTTAGATTGTAAGAAACGAAAATGTTAGGTCGTCAAAAAATTAATGTCGCTTTTTTAAGATTAAAAACCCGAACAACTTATATATCAAATCAAAACATTTATTAAATGAAATAGTCTCAATTCTTATCGATGATGCTTTTCCATCTTACAATCAGGTTGTTAGTGCCCTGATTAAAGAAATCATTTGGCTTTGAAGCAAAAAACATGTCGATGTCCTCTTTAACACCTTCCACATTTGCATACGTTTTTCCATTAAGATGGTGTTACAGCGAACGAAAAATATGGTAATCTGATGGTGCCATATATGGAGAATATGGTGAGTGGGGGAGAACTTCCCATAATCTTGTGTTCCTTCAAACGTGCCACATGTGGACCTTTCCGATTGTCGAGTGAAGGGCGTTCCTAATGAAGGGCTTGATTTAAATATTCCAGTTGCTGACTATAGATCTCTGCATTGACAGTTCGCTGTGGATTGAGAAGTTCGAAATGACTTACTCCTTTGATGTTCCACCAAATGCAAAGCATCACTTTCTGCGGATGGAGTCCAGGTTTGGGGGTCGGAAGTGTTTTTTGTCTATGACTGAGCCATTGTTTTTCTCGTTTAATATGCGCATAGAGAATACATTTTTCATCACCGGTGACAATTATGTCCAAAAATGGTTCACGCGCATTACGCGCCAGAAGAGACGACGAAACGTTCACACGTGGGAAACGATGATCACCGGAGAGTTCGTGAGGCACCCAAACACCTTCTTCATGAAGTTTTCCAATATTCCTTAGATATTTACGTATTGTTTCATGAGAGACATGGAATTTCAAGGCCATTTCACGAGTGTGTTGCCTTGGGTTAGACTCAACAAGCGTCTTCAGAGCATCAATATCAATTCAAACATGTCGGCCCCTGCCATCAAAGTTTTTAAGGCTAAAGTCACCTGAACGAAATTTGCTGAACCATCGTTGACAATTGCGAACATTCAAAACATTTCCACAAACTTCTTTGATATTCTTTGTGGCTCCAGAGGCATTGTTTCTTTTCTTGTATTCAAATAGCATTACATATATATAGGCTACATAGCGTGATGTTTGGGCGGTTCGTTTTACTATTATACGTGATGTACGTTTTTTTGGGAGGTGGTTAATGAAAGTGTTCCAAAACGCGATATTAATTTCTTGACAACCTAATACTTAACTTCTTCTAAACTACAAAGTTCAATACTGTATTTATAGGTCAATCGAAAAGGATTATTAAAAACAAGTAAAATTAAGATTTGACTCATCGGCTACATTCATATACCCTCCAGCCCATCCTACAAATTCTGGAATATTTTTACTGCCACTTCTAGTAGTTTGAACCTACAAGAAAAAAAAATAATGGTGTTTCAATCATAACTATGGCAAAAGCCTCAAAAAAAAGATCTGAAGGCATGCGGAAAATGTATTTTCCTTCTGACATGCAGGGTAAAACGTGAGTCTGTAGTTTATGTTTTATTCTACTGTTGAATAAATTTATAGACACATCTACTGTGATCGTAATTAACATCGTACTAACTATTGAACTTTCTACAGTGGAGTTCTTTAATGTGAGATGCTTTTGATGTTGCAATTATAACTCAAATGAATAAATTATATGTACGAATATATATCATAAACGATGTATAGTAAAAAATTATATAGTGCCTCAAACAACAGGATACAAATGCCAACGTTTTATACTCAGTCTAAAATTAAAATATTCCTAATTCCACATATATCAATCTTTATTTTGATCATCAGATCATAAACTTTGATCTAATAAAACTTATTCAAACATCTAAACCTGAAAAGTAACGTTTTTTTTTTTCTTTTACGTACATTTGTGCATGATATACACAATGGCTAGTAAACGGGTATCTTCTGAATTTTATTCTTTAAACAATATTTTTTGACGATTATCTGCAACATTCTGTCCTATTATACACTTGGATTTCTGAATCATATTGGTCTTTTCAAAACAACTATGTGTAAAACTTATTTGTTGCCTTTATTTTTATATATTTTATTAGTCTTGATATACAAGTTTAGAATATAAAGTACGTACACAATGTTATTTTTCAAGTTTAGGATTTTTTAAATCTCTGTCGGTATAATTTTCTTGCACACTGTTATAAAGAGTGAATAATGTTGCTTCTAAGTGGTATATGTTTTGGAGTTCAGTAACGCTTTTACCCAGTGATATGTATTTAATATTTTACTTCTCTTGACCTAACTTTTATTATAAACGTTGACATGGAATCTCGCTTTCGACAGTCAACAGAATCATCGTGCAGTTCAGGAAACACGGCAAAAAAACAACTGAGCAGCGTCCGGGTCCATCGGAGAGGGCAAAAAGGGATGTCAAGAGGAGCATCGAAATGGATCCCAGACTAACGACTGCAGAAGTGGCCAAAGTTGATA